CCGTCTTCGTGCAAGAAATTACGTTCGAAATATTTCAATGCTTTATTGTGATATTTTATTTGATAACGTAATCTAATTCTTTGCCAAAATGGTAAGTTTGGTAATTTATCAAATTCACTTTGTAAATATCTTGATTGGCTATCGAAATGATTTGATGTTTTTCCAAAAGATTTCAACTTCTTAAAAGTCTTCTTAATTGCCTTTTCCAAAGTTATATTCTTCTCGTTCATTTTCTTCATCATTCTGCAACGCGAGCCATCAAAAACTACTGGCACATAGTTTCCATTGGTTACTTTCTTGATATATGAAATCTCTTCAGAAGAGTAATCTTCATCCAAGTTAATTGGTTTTGAAAGCCAATCTTCTGGCACTCTATGAATAGTAGAATTGTAGTATTCAACTAATCCCTTTGCATAGTCCCTCAAATTGAAGTTGATGATTTCCGGTTCACTCAAAGCTAGAGTTAACAAAGAAAGGTACTTTGCAGCCAAGTTATGGAACACAAATCCTTTATCGGCAAAGTTTGACATCCAATAGTATGAATCATAATTTGAATGGTAATGATAAATTGGATCATTCTTCCCAGGTTCAAAGCCAAAATCAACAGAAGGAATTCCTAAGTGCTCTAAATATACAGTAAAATCTGAACCAGAGCCAAGAGTGTGAATACGCTCTCCATCTTTAATCTTCACGAAATGATCATATAACGAACCTACACCCTTTTCTGGGTATTCCAATTCCTTTGCCACGGCCAATAAAATATTATTCAAGAGAGGGGATGCCCCGAGGTTCATATTTTTACCACTAACAGCAACGTCTACATTCAAGTATGCGACGACATTGCGTTGATATTTATCGGCAAAATATTCACCCTGTTCAGTTGATCCTAATAATCCATACTCTTCTCCATCATAACTATGCAACACAACTGTACGTTTAAATTTATAACCAGCTTTCTTCAATTCTCCAAAAGCACGAGCAACTTCTAAAAGGGCAGCTGATCCACTATTAGGATCACCAGCACCACCTTTGATCCATGCGTCTCTATGGTTACCAATAATTATAACATCGTCTTCCTTCTCACCTTTGATTTCTCCATATACATTCCACATAGTAGTAATATTGAAAATCTGATCATTATACAAGTTTAAGGTAAAGTTTGTATTAGGACCTGTGAAGTATTTAATTCCATCTAACTCTCCTTCAAATCCCGAAAGCTTCTTTCCGTGGCCATTCAATTTTTCTAAAATTGGTTTTACTTCACGATATGAAATAGGCAAAACTGGAATCTTCCCAATACTTGAATGAGGATCTTGACGTTCCACACCAGGTTTGGAAGCATATCCAGGAGTAGTTGGATCTCCAGGTGCAGAGCCTTCTCCACCTAAAAATTGGACACTTCCTCTTTGTACAGAACTTTCTTGTCTAGCTGGACCATGTGGATATTGCTCGAATCCATTAGCTGGAGTAATCCCATTGTCATCTCCAGGATCTGAATAAAGCAAAACTCCAGCAGCTCCGTTATCTTGGGCAAATTTTACTTTTAATCCCCTGACTATTTTACCATAACGAACAATTACTATCTTGTCCTTAATTGTGACATTGTGCTTTTTTAATTCTTCAAAATCTTTTGTAGTCCCGTAGTTGGCATAGATATATTCCGCAGTCACATTACCATTTGCAGCATATCCTAAAAAGGTTGGAATCGTATCATTTCCGTGAGTAGTTGGATCCTTCTTTAATACATCCTCTTTGAGAGGCGCCTTGTAGACAATGTGATTGGTTTTATTTAAGAGGTTCAAATCATGATCTTTTGGATAACTCACGTAAATTTCATAAGGATCAATAGTTGCTTCAAATCCATATTCTTCAAACTTCTGTTGAGTCCATTCAACAAGCCCATAATTGGTACCAGCCAAATGAGGTTCCGCTGTATATTTCTCAGACCAATTGCCTGCTAAGTTGGTTTCAAGGGCATTAAGAACAATTACTTTTGGATCAAGTTCTTGGTTGACAGTGAAACTAAGTTTGCTTATTTGATAAACAAGACCCAATGCTAAGAAAACAGACAACCATCTTATCAATTGAGGTTTCTTTCGCCTCTGAAGGAATCTTGGGACCTTTTCAGTAACCATATTTGTAGTTTGATTTTAATAATTGGTAAGCTAATTAAAGAAAGAAAAAGGGGGTTTAAATAAATTTTGAGATTGCATGGAAAAAGAATCAGGGGTAATTTAAGGTGAATCTTCTAAAGTTGCGGCGTGGCTCTGCTGTGTATTTTTTCGTTCGCACCCACTGTGGTTGCAATGTTGCAATGTCGATTCGGAAACACATTTTTTGGTGCCGTATGATCGAACCACATTGTATGGTATGAAATGTTATACAATAGTTGATACTGTAACCTAAATGCATAACAATCATTCAATTGAATTGAATAGCATTTGTTTTGCTGGTTTAGATTGATTCATGATTCGAGAATATTAAAATAAAATCGAAGAGAGTAAAGAGAAAGTTATCCGAACAGCAAAAACTTCATTGTTTCTCGTCGTGAAGCTGGAAGTCGGCATTAATACTTTTGTTATAACCCAGAACTTATTAGTGGTTATAGGAGTATTGCCGTGTCTTATTGGAGGCATAGCATCCTTTTGAGTCCTACCAAGTTTGTTTAATAATTGGAGGAGGAAACCTATTCTTCTACTAGAGAATGTAACTTGTCTTCATTAAATAACATATATTGGATTTGTAAGAATTGACTTTAATTGACTCGTAGTTATTATTAAAAACCAAATTTTAATTGATATTAATATGTTGTTAGATCAAGCAATTCAGATGAAAGTTATTTCGTGGGATGTATAAATTATAAAGAGCTATTAGATACCAGCTAGTGTATATTTGGGGTTTCACACCTATGTAGCGATAAACTAAAGTAATATAATCTATAGAGACATTTGTCTAAAATGAGGATAAAGAAATGCCTAATTCTAAAAGAAAGTGATATAAAAAGAAGTGGGAAAGTTAACCATATTTATACTCTCGGGAAATCCATCGAGGCGTTGAGGGATTTAACGGCAATACGGAAATACGGAAACAAACGGTAAACATAAATATTAAATAACACAAAACCAGAAGAAACATTACTGGCAACGAAGCTTGAACAAGATATAATAGCTAGTTATATCTTGACATGCTTAATTTATGTGTTGCAGATTTAAAAGCTTATCACCCCGATTGAAATAATTTTTTTGCAGCTTTTAGTAAGGCACACCCAATCATTAGTGACACCAGTCCATGGCTGTACCAAATTTTCTACTGTATTGGTCATGCAATCTTTCTTTCTTTTTTTTTGGTTGCCTCTACTTAAATTGATGTTGTAATCACCCCATGGGTTCTAACTAAATAAATTGGTTGCAATTTTACACATTAAAATAAATTATTTTTTAATTCTTGGCGGTTTTAGATTTTATGGTTGCACAAAAAATAATTTATAATTCTTCTTAAGAATACTTGACATGATCAACAGCTTCTTATCAATATACGATAAGAAAAATAATTGTCTTTCAGAAAGAATCATTCATCTAACATAGTCACCATACTCTCAGGGAGCATTCAATACCATTGTAATATTGAACATCAGACGCATATTTCGGTATAGGAAGATACTCCTATTCGAATCTTGCAACTGAATTTTTTTAGGCTGATCTATTTTTGTTGGAAACGAAAAAATCAAGCTTTTTGTATCAGAATTGATGACACGGTGATGACCAATCATTGCTATTACATGGTCAGTCTATCATTCGATATGATGTATTGGTTAAAAGCTTGTTCTATCTATTTAGCATATACTATGAAGTCTTACAGCGTGTTGCAAGCCCATTCTTAAACAATCAACATAAGTTGTATATTGTCTTAAACAAAGTTCGCATTCAACTATACATACTTATTTATTTAGAGAATAATTCAATCAAGGCGTTTGCTCACTCTTTCGATTGTCTTAAAGAATATCTTTTGCCAAGCAGCAAATCTTTCAAAACTGCCATCCTCGATAGCTTCATTTAATCCAGGCAAATTTTGGCCCGCATAGCCTGTGAATCTTCCACTTGCAAATACGGTATGCTTAAACCATGGCCTATTAAATAACCCGTCTTCGTGCAAGAAATTACGTTCGAAATATTTCAATGCTTTATTGTGATATTTTATTTGATAACGTAATCTAATTCTTTGCCAAAATGGTAAGTTTGGTAATTTATCAAATTCACTTTGTAAATATCTTGATTGGCTATCGAAATGATTTGATGTTTTTCCAAAAGATTTCAACTTCTTAAAAGTCTTCTTAATTGCCTTTTCCAAAGTTATATTCTTCTCGTTCATTTTCTTCATCATTCTGCAACGCGAGCCATCAAAAACTACTGGCACATAGTTTCCATTGGTTACTTTCTTGATATATGAAATCTCTTCAGAAGAGTAATCTTCATCCAAGTTAATTGGTTTTGAAAGCCAATCTTCTGGCACTCTATGAATAGTAGAATTGTAGTATTCAACTAATCCCTTTGCATAGTCCCTCAAATTGAAGTTGATGATTTCCGGTTCACTCAAAGCTAGAGTTAACAAAGAAAGGTACTTTGCAGCCAAGTTATGGAACACAAATCCTTTATCGGCAAAGTTTGACATCCAATA